AGATCTGAGGATGGAAAAGGAGCTACAGTGACTTACACAATAGAAACGGGGGTAGAAAATGGCTCGTGACTTTTACTTGAATGAGCCAGCAAGCTGAAGAACTGAAATACTTATTTAAGGATTGACCCCAGTTGGGTTGCTACATGTGCAAGTCCACAGGCGGTTTTTGCTGGTGCTCAGCAACAGGTGAGCACACCTGGATGCTGTGCAGAAAACAGGTAGTCGTGATACAGTGCAGCCCTAGAATAGAGCCAGCGTTCAGAAATTCTTTCTGGATATTGTTCACAAAGTTACAATGGGCTGGAAAAGGTTATGTCCTTTTCAGCCTGCTTTGCCTCAGCTTCCACTTACCTCAGGTTTTCTCCCTCTGACAGACATTTTGACAAAGAACTTTGAAAATTAGCAAATTAGAATTGGAATCAGTCTAAATATAATACAATAAAAATTCTCACTGCCCAGAAACATTTCTTTTACCAAAAAAAAAAAAAAAAAAAAAGTGAGAGTATCTCAGAAATGTGACAGTTACGGTACATCAGAACAGTGTGAGCCTTCCTTCTTTCTACTTATTCTCCCTCAGTCTATTTTTACTTCTGATTTACACCAGTGGACCTGAAAAGATAATGAAGCCTGTGTTGTCAGAATGGATAATTCACAAGGCAGGGGCTGCAGAGAGCACTGATACTGGTGTTTGACGCCATTTCCAGGATGGCTGCTGCAGTGTGCACGGCTGCACAGCAATCTTTCTGCTCTCTGTCACACAGAAACCTGTTGCTATATATATAACTAATGTACCTAGCGTCCTTTCATAAGAAGCAAAAGATATTAGGGGCTCATTTTATTGTGATGAACAAAATTGGCAGGATGTTCATGTCAAAATACTGGTGGCAGTAATTTTAGTCATCAGTCTCATTTCCCAGTCAACATCCACTGATCAGTGTTTTAAAAAGGGGTCGGAGGGGGAGAGGAAGGGATCAGGATTTGGATTATTAATAAGTAATTAAATAAAGACTGAACATGTATTAACCTGGAGATCCCTCATGGAAATTTCACTGTCAGATGCTGTGGGGGCTGGCTGTTTTGAGGGAATCTCATGAATTCGGGCTCATGGGAAGCTGTCAGAATGATGAGCTGAGCACAGGCCAATAGATTTATCTGTTTCTGCCTGGCAGATTATAATGGGATCTGCAGTCATCCTGCTGATCACTGGATATCTGTAGAGAGCCCATCATAAAGAGAGCATCATTAGGATCAAAAGGGAATACTTCTTTGGAGCTAGGTACCTGGAGACATCATCACTTGCAGAAAAGTTGATAGAGAAGACTGCATGTTGGGGTATAGCTTGCAACAGATTGTCAAACCATCTGCAAAGAAGTAGTTAAAATAGCTGGTGTGCTACTGATGCCTGTTCATGGAGAATTCCCTTGGGAGATTCCTTCCCATACCCTCGCAGAGCTAGCAGTGCTGCATACTTCTGTCTGAAAGCACAGACATTTTGACAAAGGAAAGGCTGAAATAATCAGAACTTCCAAAAGCTCCAGCTGAAATGCTGGAGAAGTCAGCTGGATTTTCCAGTTTACTGAAAAAGTGGGTGGTAACAAAACTCACTTAGAAAGCTAGGAACAGTATCACTAAGCAGCTGACTGCAAAGAAAGACCAGACCATGATGTATGTGGCACCTCTATTTGTTTTTGCTGCTTGAGACCCGAGTGGGCCATATTGAAGAAAGGTGCTGAAGTCCATGTCATCTACACAGTGATGGAAAATAAGGAACCTTTTTCCTAAGCTCAGCTAATTCCATGGATGTGTGTGAATCCACGCAGTGGATGGATGGATGGAGCGCCTGTCACAGAGCAGTTAACTGTAAGCCCCATCTACACACAACCTTTCACAGTGAGGATTGTTAGCAGCACCTTTACATTAGTTTGAGCTAGTCACAAATACCTTCATTTCTGCAGTCCTGAGGACCACATTTGTGTGAGACGTCTCTCAAAGTCACATTATTCACATCCTTGCCAGAGCCATTCAATTTTGCTTTATTTTTTTCATTCTGTGAATTCTGGAGAACAAAAAGCAACTTTTGTTCCTCTCCCAGTTTTAAATGGCTTGACATGACAGCAGCAGCTGCCAGCACCAAAACAGCACCCAGCGTTGTTCAAACACTCATCATCTCGTCTGATTTTTAATGCTTAAAAATTCAAAAACGTAGAAATTGCTTTAAAGGTAAAATCAAAACACCAGCCCTGCTCAAATGTTGTTAGTCTCAAACATGGATTCTGCATTACAAAAGGGAAAAGCCTGATCAAAAGATCAGTTTCAATTTCAAAAAAGAAATATTTTTAAATATATGCTATATATATGTGTAGAAAATGAATGACCACGATGCCATTAGGAAAAAGCAATTCCCATTTTCAAAATATTTAACATAAATAAACCATGTATAGTGCGAGATAAAATACTATTATTCCCACCGTTCAAACCAGAAAGTTCAAACTGAAGCACAGTTAAAATGAGATTGTCAAGTACCTGCTACCAAAGAAGATCATAACAAAGCAAATTTTATGTAAAACCCTAACTAACTTTTCTTTCCATATAATATTTATGGTCACGATGTCTGGCCAAGAAGTAAAGCAGGCAGACAATTACATGGAAGGGATTTGCTTCAGACATCAGCTGCAGCAGAGCTCAAGTGCAGGATTTGCAGAACCTGCTATGTAAATAAACTTATATTTTTAATTGGAAAAGGAACACACAAGCAGTTTGGAAACTGCAATTTGTCTGCAGTGGACGCTGGATTTACATCAGTATTAGAGCACAGTGCTGTGAAGTGTAAGCCCTGCAGTCAGTGACAAAAGATAGGAGGTTCTTTCAAGTTGGACGCCCGGGCCCATGTATGCCTATGGTACGTGAGACATAGATGGGCAGCTTCTGTCCTGTGGTAGACGCACAAAAAACAGAAAAGCAAAGAAAATGTGGTGTTAAGGAGTAACTCCTAATTCAAATCCTGATCCCTGTCATGGAGGGAACACAAGAACAGCGAGACCCCAGCCAGTTCTGCAAGCCCTTCAGATGAGTACTCAGACAGATGAGCTTCCTGTTCCCAGGCACACTTTGTACTTGAAGTGTAAAATGCCAGCAAACTACTCAATGGTTAAGCAGAAAATAGCTTTAGAAAAATGCTGCATTCCATTTTTCTCCACTGAGCACGTGATGATGCATATTTTTACACGTGCAATACACCTTCCCTTATAAAAGTGTCTTGTAGCGCATAGGACATTAAATGAACTCTCATTTGTCCCTTTGCTAGCATGCTTCAGAGCAAGAATTCTTAGTGCTTAGCAAGAGTCTTAGTGCTTGTGTGAGATCTGAGCCAAGACTTATTGAGTTTTGTGAGCGTTGGGTCAAGCAGGCTCTAAAAAGTTAATAGCAATGAATGGGATTGACTGGCTAACCTTGCCTTTTTCTTTTTAAATATTTCACCTGCTTTGGTGTTTCATGCACACACCTGTGGCTGCAGACCAGTCCCTGGCTGCTGTACATGAGCCCCTCACCCCCCAGGGCACACTGCAGAGCCGTGCAAGCCTGCAATTGGCCCACTGCAATAAGCTATGGGTTGGCACCAGCAGCCAACTCACGCGTCACTACCAGTTCCAGTAATTGCTTTGGGAACCTGAAGGAGTAGGAGGAGCTACACTAAATTAAATTCCAGTCTAATGCAACTGACTGCTATTTCAAAGTAAAAGTACTCCTGCTTTTGAACCACCGAACAATAATCTTGAATACCTTACTTTATATGGCTCTATGCTACCTTGTTCAGCGTCACATGGGAAAATATACAGCTGGCAGATTGTTTTACTCTCCTCTTAGTTATCATTAATGTTAATTAATAAGCGTATGCTCAATCTCATTGTTATTCCATAATGCGTAGTTAAAAATTACAATAATGAATTCAAACTTCTCCAGCCAAACGTAATAAAATGGTGATTAATATTCTCCAAGGTTGGGAGGGAGAAAGATTCAGGGTAATCCGAAGGAGTTGTAAGCCTTCAGCACAATATACATCACAGCACACGCAAGGCACAATCAGCAAAGTGGGGAAGCAAGTAGGTCAGTGCCCCCTACTCAAATCACGTGCCACGGTCCCAGCATTTGGATGAGCATGAACCAGCTATCTCCTTGTCTTCCCCTTGTTCAATTACTGTGCTTCTATCTCTTGAAACCCGACCATGTATAACATTGACTTCTATGCTCAATGAAGAAAGCAAACCTCTCACTCTATTAAATAAAAGCTGTTTTAACACGTACATGGTGAGCACAGTTAGCAAACCAACACAGAAATTGAGCATAGCTCAGAGCCAGCCTCACGTCAGCCAACCTGCAATCAAAATTTTCAGGCCTTATTCCAGCTGTAAGCGCCTATCGCAGATGTCATCCATCCTCACACGACAGTGCCCAGAAAAGGATCAGAAGCTATGAAATATGGATGGAGATGGGAAATGACCTTGGTGAGGAACCAGCAGACAGGTGTCGGAGTAAATGTGACAGATGGGCCAAAAACAGCTCCTGGTGTCAGATTTTCCAGAACAAATCTGGAGCTTCTTTGACAGAGGACATGCAACAAGCTGAGCATTCCAGAATATATAATGCTCTTATAAAAATATCTATTTTCTGGTATCTTCAATCTCTAATACTGCCAAAATGATTTTTTTTTTTTTTTTTTCTGCAGAAAAAGGAGATGGTACAAAAGTAGGAGGCTTTTATCTTGCTCTGCTAATAATCCCTACAAATTCATGTCTCAAAAACATTACCTTATGTATGGGAACTGCTGAGTCACAGCCTGAACCTCTGATTAGTCACCTGAGGTGAGCAATGAGTCAGCCCTGGGAGCACAGGTGAAAGCAATTCACCTGTGCTGCAGGAAGGGGTGGAGCCTGGCTCCACCTCTCCTAGACCCATTTAAGAGCTGACTACCAGTGGGGAAGGATCTCTCTCTTTTCTCTCTTTGGAAGATCCATTCCAGTGGTCTTTCCTGAGCTAGCCCATAACACAGGTAAGTATTGTATTTATTCTCTTTGTCTCACTGTGCCTAACTCTCTTGCTTATTTCATTATTATAGCATCTTAATATTATTTGGTTATATAATATTCCTTTATATAATTTTCATTGATTATACACTTTACATAATCTAATTTATACAAATGTAATACCTTAGACATTGCTGTGACTACTGCAACGGAAGGAGTGATGCTGATGGAGAACCCAGGATGAATCCCACCCTGCACTGCTCCCATCTCACTGCAAACCAAAAAACTGGTGGTAAGAGAAAAGGCAGGGATGCACAGAAAGCCACCCTTCATGGCAAAACCTCCCTAACAAACAGCTTTACAGTGATAGGTGCTTAGGTGATACATGGTTGTGTCATGAAGAAATGCAGTAAAGGAAGTACCTTAAGTGGGTGGCTATTTGAAAACATTGCAAAGTGGGTAAACACTACCCCACGCATTTGTGTGTCTTGCAAAAGAAAAAAGACCTTCTCTCTTCACACCCCTATGTACAAACTGAATACCTTCACAGATGTTGTCTTTTACCTCCAGCGTTATCTGTATGATAAAGAAGTAAATTCAGTGAGTTGTAAGTGTTCTATTTCCTGAGAGCTCCTAAAACAAACTTCTCTCCATTTAGCAGCGCTCACTGAAGCAGCTCAATGCAGGCAGTGCAGATTTCACTGCCCTACCCATCACAACCTGGAAGGAAAGCTGACGAAGCAAACACACCATCCCACATATCTACCTTTTTAAAAAAAAAAACCTGAAGCATGGAATATTTACAGCATAACTAGGCACACGGTAGTTTACAGCACTGCTTTGTTCACCAGTTCCTCACCTGAAAAATAGACAAGTGCTGGTGTGCTACAGCACAGAAATATGGGACCTGCTGAGGACCTTGCAGTGCTGTGCCCCCAGCAGAATACTCAATGCCTGTTTACCTACAGCTTGTCCTTTTGTGCCCTCCAGTCTTGTGCTTGTATCACTTCAGTGGTAGGATACAGGCATACATACAACATCACCTTATCAAAAAGCAAAAACCAGCATCCATTGTGCTCTCAGTTTTATAGTAGAGGGTATTTGCAGTGAACTGGAAAGTTGCTGGATCTGGAGGTCTTAATTCAGTTCTAGAGAGTAATATTGCTAACTGGGCACAATAGTAGAGGAAGTTTCATGTGGTATCTTGGAACACACGAAGGCTAATTGATGCAAATAGGAGGAAAGATGACTATCACATTGTGCAATCGTAAGGCAAATTCAACAGCAGCAAGTGAAGAGACAAGTTTACAAAAAATTATGGTCTTCTATGACAGGATTATGATTTATTTATAAACAAAAACTGCAGAGCATAGACATCTGTTGGTGGCTTTTTCCCCTAAAGATTTGCTCTACTGTTCTAGCATAAATTTCCTTCTGTTGATTTTTAAATGTAAAACGAATGCTTTTTTCCCCCCTTCGCTCAGAAGAAGAATCTTTTCCTATCTGCTGACATACAAGACAGAAAGGGAAGAAGCAGAGTTTACCCAAACTACTTTCTGAGCGCTTGTCTCACTCTTAGCACTTGCACAGTGCTGGCAGCAATACTGAGAGCAGCCCGGTGCAGTGCAGCGGTGGAGCAGCTACGTGGACATCATCCTAGTGAGCCTCCAACCTCTCTGCTCCAATTTTGCTAACACTCAATGTTTGGGAGCTAAAAATTTAATTTGAATTTATAAGTTCACCATCACGCGTTAATTGTATTTAGGAGGCAATGAGTCAGTGACCCACTCAAACAGATTTACCTGTAATGGATTTAACTGCCTGCGAGGCTCAATTCTTAATAATATAAATAGGAAAAAAGCTGAACTGCATTTCACTTGAAATATTTCAACTCTTTGGAGTGTGAGAAGATTTTTACTAAGCAGCTGCTACTATCGTAAACAGTGCAAAGAAAAGGGAAGAGTTAAACTGCAGCAATTAAATACACTGTAAAACAAGCAAGCAGGTAAGCAGGGCAAAGTTTTCATGAGGAAAGGGTTATCTTAAAAATGCACAGAAGATATTAGAAACTAAAAGTCTGCATTAGAATAAAGGTGCAAATTATTACAGTTTTCCCCAATCTGAAAGGAAGGACTTTTATGTGGGAAATGAATGCTGCTCAATGGAATATACTCTGTTATGGGAACATAATGTCTGTTTATTAGTTTTATACCACATTCATTACTACACTTTTTATAAGATGGATTTTATTTAATTAGCACATGTTCCTGGTTATAAATGAGAAACTAATGTTCTATAAAATGCAATAAAATAGAATATCTAGTTAAGGGCTCTTAAAAACTTCAGAATTTGAGATGCCAAGAACAAGAAAGAAACCACAGGGATTGGGAATGATCGAAAGCCATGGAAAAACCTTCCTTTTTTTAAATTTGCAAATCACTTTGCATCTTGTGGGACATAGAGAAATAACGAATGCTACCTGCCTCAAAAACGTTCAGCAATGTGATGGTTTGATGTGTGATAAATCACCTAGGGGAAAAAAAAAAAAACAGAAGGCTCAAGATATGTTTAGATTTTGTACTAAGGGACAAGATTTAGGGGGGAAATATTGGAGGTAGGTGGATGGTTGGACTGGATGATCTTGGAAGTCTTTTCCAACCTTGGTGATTCTAAGAAGCTAAGACAGAACAAGTTAAAATGGATCCCTGATTCTTCCTCTTTGAGCAGACTGCCAGCTGCCCACCAGCTCTGCTCCAGCTACAAACAAGACTGACATATGTGGCAAGGAAGAGCATGAACCTCAGCCCTTCAAGACACAGCAGACAGCACGCACTGACAGGCAGTAGCAGTGCATCGTACCTTTCAGGCAATGCATGGATAAGCGAATAATACACCTCAGCTAGGTTACTCTCTCAGTAATTCTGTACAGCAGCAATAAGGCAGCATTTCTGCTTTCTTTTTGTAAAGATCATAGCCCAAAAGGATGCTGGTTCATGGCCCTCTACAATCAATGAAAAACAGGCATTTCCACTTGGCAGCTCAGGACCACTGGACACATAAGCAAGGTAGAAATGCTTTTCTTGTTCTTAATTTCTGTTTCTTTTTGCTTTTCTCCTAAATCTAGTTTTAAAATACTTATCATTATTTTACTGTAATTTGTAACTACCCGTTTGTCAATAATTGTGCAAATATTAGTGCTTTACTTCAGATGAAAAATAGGACAGCAAACCTTCATTAACAGAAACTATATACAGAAGTGAAACATCAGGATACAAACACTGCTTTTTTTTTTTTAAATCTTCAAAACTTGTCACTTTCTGAAATGCAAAAAAAGAAACAAATCCAAATCATTTGTTACAGCCCTCTCTAAATTGCTTTCCCCTCTGTGCTATCAAAACATAACATTTTATCAATGCAGTTACAGATGCAATAAGGTTTGAGTGTCAGAGAGAAAGAAGATAAAGATTATGATTGCTGTGCATGTGTTGGTTTTTCACTACATATTCACAGGAATTATTGGAACACTTGCTCAAGCTGCCACCAAGGGAGGTAGAACAGCAGGCCTGGCTTTTGCTCAGTGGTGTTGATGGGAGGGCTCTGGGGTCTGCATGGCATCCCTCACCACAATGTGGTCCCTGCTAGTGCCTTTCTGTTTTTATTTTATAAGAAAAACTACAGTCACCATTTTCTGCAACCAGAACAGATCCAAAGGGGAGCTGTTGCAAATCCTCTAGTTCAGAAAAAAAGAAATACTGAAGTTATGAAGGACAACGTGTCTTCTTTCTACCTAACAAGTTTGGATTAGTCTGAAACACTTCAGACATCATTTAATGTTTGAATGAAAAAACTAGATTGCATTGTCAGTTTTCCTAGAGAGCACAGCTTACACTGAGAAAAAGGAACAAATATTCACCTGCAAATAGCTTACACTGAGAAAAAGGAACAAATATTCACCTGCAAATAGGTGAGGTGCCCCATTTTGCAGGCCAGGCATGTAAAACAAAGATTTGCATGAGTCCTTGCAGCATTTCAGCAGGATATTTTATGCACTCCCAATTCTGTCATGCTTCTGTGTCCTCTATCTCCTCCTGGGAGCACGCATAAGCAAAACAACTGGAGACTGTTAATCTTTGCTTATATAGTCCCATCTGTCTTTCATGTTTACTTTTGTCTTTCAGCATAGGAAACAAGTAGGAAAACAATAACCAATATCTGGGTCTGCAGACCCAGACCATAGGTGCACAGTATTTTGAAGGGAGAAGGTTCAAGAGCATCTACAGAGGTACCGAGAAAGACAGTAGCCTGATGCTTGAGACAGCAACTTGAAATCATGATTGTTCTGCTTCAGCATAGGTTTTTGGGACTGCGTTACTTTGCAGGGTATGTATGCTGGGAAGTGGGCTACAGTAGTGTAGTCAGATAAATTAGAGAAACTGAAAAGGGAATCCCTAGCATCACGAGTTAACAGAAACATGAGACATACAGTGGTACACCCTCCATGGCTTCAAGGAGGAGGAGATGGTTATTATAAACTCATGAAGAACTGAAGACTGCAGATCTTCACACTGATACTTCTCACTAGTTGCACAAGCAGCCCTAGGAAAAGCAGAAGAGAGAGAAGTGGAAGGATTTCTTTTGCTGCATTTGATTTATTACTGTTTAAAAATACAAATCTCAGAGGAACATCAGGCTGTTCCTATACTGCTGCCTGAAGCAAGGTGCTAAAGAGTTCACTGAAACTCCTAGCAGGAAGCAGGTGGGACACAAGGAAGAGCCACTGGGTAGGCAGTAACAGGAAGCCACACACTGTACCAGGCCAACAGAGCTCCAAATGAGGTTTGGCTGTGCCACAGGCTTAATGCGGCTCCCACTGCAGCAAGGAAATCAGGTGAAGGTGTTCTGACAAGGAAGCATTATTAACTGATCTAGTTACCAAAGAAATATTTAAACTAAATGCCTGTCTTGTTGGCCATACTCTCAATACATCACAGCACAGTTAAGATGGCAAGGGCACCTGAGGAGATACTTTGCAGCATTGGCCATATTTTTGGGGATCAGCTGATGAAGACTCACAGTCCTTCCTGCAGTCCTTACTGACAGGAGCAGTGCCTTGCCCTACAGCTATAACCACTGGCTGGCCAAAACTCTGTAACTCTATGCATCCATTTCTTCCCTCTCCATAAAAGCTACAGTTGTGCCTGTCCTGTACCAATTACAGGGGCCACAGACCTGGCAATAGGCTGGATATCATCTTTGAAACCTACTGCCAGCTTCAGAGGGGGCAGAACTTCCTCCAGCAGTGAGCTGAGTAGACTCTAACCAGCCAAAGCAGATCCCTGTCTTGATTGGAAATCTTTAACTGAGGGGTATGTTATTTTCTTCATTCTGCATTTGCTTCCAAGGCAAATTCTCCATGAAATTACTTCCAACTTGAATTTTGTTTCAGCTTCCAGCCATGGAAGTCTGAAATACTGTTTCTACCACCTAATGGATGTTAGCCAATTTAAAACACAATTAATGTCCTTGGTCATAAAGGCAGATCTCTACTGATGGCTTGAAGCATCAATAATGAATGCTGATTGTACTGACTTGTCATTGATCTTTCTGAAAATTCTATCTTTGCAAACTTGAAGTCCTGAAGAAGTCTTTGTGCAGTATGTATAAATAAGACTTTAATCCAGCATCTTTATTCCACACTCTTTTGTTTTGGTGGAGGACTCGGGGCCCTGTGGGAAATGCAAGAAAACATATCTGATTCTCTTTACAGGATCTTGTAACAAGACAGAGAACACAGCTCAGATGCAAAACATATTGATCTAGACACAAACTCTTCCAAGAAGGATCTGCAATTTCAATCTTTAAGCTCCTTCTGCAGAATTGTTCCTCTTCTGATGGTGCCCCTTTAACCAAACTACTCAACTTCTCCTTCCTTTAAAACTTCCTTTTAAGATGTTTCCTCCACACAGCATTCTTTTGTGAAAATCTCTGCAGAGATCACAAGGCACAGAGAGGTGCCTTGTAATGCTTGTCACAAGAAATTCCTCAATAAACAAGTCAGTATAGATTCTGTGGCAGATTTTCTTTATGGCATTCTCACTTCAAATGCCAGATGTACTGAAGCTTTCATATTTCCATCTATATTAAACAGAACCATCAAAGCTGGATACAATATTTCTTCATTTCTGATCTTTCCCCAAGTTTTGTAAAATACCACTTTTTTACCGTTACTAACCTTAATGCGATGTCTTGCAAAAGGCACTGAATGGCAAGGAATGAGAAAAAGGGCTTAAGTTAGCAGACTCAAGGCTGAGAAGGACTCTCAGTGCATAGTAATACATCTGCCTCCAGATGTCTGGCAAAGGGAACGGGAATATTAAGCTCAGCCTGTAAAAGGACACAAAAGGATTGCTATAATGGTAGCATCTCAGGCTGTCTGGTCTTGTGGGACCTTGATAAACCTTTCCTTGAGCCTGGTCAGCTCTATGCAGTACCACAAGGAGATTTTCTCACATCAAGTTCCTGAAGAACTTACATGAAACAGCAATTCACATGGCTTACCCTGTCTCTTTGATAGGCACACTGTCTCTGACTTGTTCAGTATTGACTTATTTCATTGCCTAGATGTAGAATTCAGGTAGCAAACCATACAAAATCTGCCCTTAACCTCACTCCAGATCCAGAATTCATGACTATTCCATACGTACCCAGCCATCCCCTTTTTAAAAAGGCATCAAATAGAAGCCAACACAGAATCTGTCAGAGGTATAATGGTCATGGTCACTTCTTTTTGCTGGTTTAGTGGCATCGGGTGAGCACGCATTATGTGTTGGCCAATGGAATGACCAAAGGCTTGAAGTTCAATAGTGCCCACTAATCTCCAGCAAAAGCAAATTATTCACACTGGGGCTGAAGAAAGCCTTGGACATGAGAAGAGATACAGGCCTCCAGTCCAGTAAACATTTCCAGAGCATATTTACTTTGTGTCATCTCTCTCTAGCCTCTGCCATGTGCTTTTTAAAGTTCATAATTGATTTATAGTAACATACTGAAGGAGATTACTTCTACCTGTATTATCATTATACTGTTGCTGAGTTACCACTTTCTGATGCATACGTTTTTGCCTGTGCCAACTTGTTAGATAAGATCATCTTTAAAGTTTGCTGAAACTCAAAAAAAATAAAGTTGTACTTCTGAAAAGTGTTTTCTGATTTTTGCAACTGCATGCACACACTTGTGCCTTGAATAATTCATGCATCTTTCCAGTACTAAGATCTGAAAGGGAAATACTGGGGTAAAGAGGGAAATAGATGAGCAATGTCTAAGGCAAACGAGTGACAACAGGAAAGCAATCCTGAGGTAAACATAGTCATTTTGTGGCATTTCCATACAGCTCCACTTTTGAGGGCTTCTATAACCCCTGCTGATACTCACCAGTTTTCTCTGAAGCTTAGTCCCTGAATTTATGTATGGAAAGCAAGATTTTCTCCCATACAGATTGGCTGCCGATCTCTTTTAATCTAAGTTATCATTTTTCACTCATTTATTATCTCCATGAGTGCACACTCCTTACAGTTCATATGATTTCCCTGCAGGGCTCTGCATAGCTCTTCATGTGGCATTTAATGGTGCCAAGGTCTGGGCTGGGGAGCCTGGGCTGCAGGTAGCACCTCCAGCCACACCTGCATGGAGTGGTAACATGGGTATGTATCCACACATTCACCTGTTCACTCACACAGCATAGATCCCATCATTGCTTCACACTAATCAAACACATCTAAATTGCTGTTCCTCTTCAAAGGTGGATTCATTGCTGTCCTTGTCTTTTTGGATTTATAACAACTTCAGACACAGAAAAATCTATTTAGCATCCTTCTTCCTACACAACTAAAATCCAGAGGGCTCAACAATGCAGCAAGATGTATAGAAGAAATCTTTACAATTTTGTACCTTGTTCTTACAAAATATTAATGCTTGCAGTGTTAGTGCCTTTGCAACTCTAGAACTGATTTTCTTTCAGGAGATCAGTTGGTTTTTAGGACACAAAAGAGCTTTGTTCTGGCTTGACTGCTTCTTTGCATATGGCTGTGCTACACACTGATAAGCAGTTTGGATTAAACAATATACTTAGTAGAACAAAAACAGTTTTTGTTTTCTTTTTAATAGACGAATATGCTATTTAAAGACTTCACCAAATGGTGGGTGTTGTTTCGTTGGACTCTTTTGCACAAATAAATTGAAGACACACAAATCTTTCCCCACCACCTGAAGCCCACTTTGTCAGCACAGCTCCCTCCCACAGGAGCTATTCTACTTTGGCAAGAATGGCAACATCGTTCAACTATTTCTATCCGCTCTAGAATGGTCTCTATAAGAAGCAGCTACCACTGAAAATCATGGCTGCTCTTCAGGCAACATTGCTTCCTATGGGCAGTAAGGCTTTTGAGGGCTGTACCATACAGTGTAGATGGAGGTGGCATCGTTCAGTGTTCTTTTGTTTAGATTCTGATCCCAAAACATACCTACAGAGCAGGGGATCAGAACACAGAATGGGAAGGTGCACAAATCCATGAGGTGTGTCCAGTGACAGCTCTCTTGAAATGAGTGAAAATTGATTGAAAATTAGATTTGAATGATCCTGGATGTTGAGATGGACACTGTAACCTCATTGGAATGTGCAATGTAGATGGTGTAAAGGGAAAAACACAAAACAGAGTATTCTTCCTTGAAGCTAGGAGTAAGGAAGGCCAAGTAAAATGCGAAAATACCTCTTCAATGTCACTACACAGCACTCTGGATTATAAAATTGCCATTTAACTTCCATAGATTTGATAAACCTACCACTATCACTCTACACTGACTGAGGAGCAGCTCACTTAATTCACTGAACTGGGATGGCGTTCACAAATTCAGAGGCAAAAAGTTTCCACAGCACTTGCATAAATGACTGACTCTCTACGACATAATTATTCAACCTACTGTAGGGCAAATTCATTCCTTCTCTGCTCTCCCACAGAGGGATGCATGGATAACAACATCTTCCACAGTAGCTTTGCATAAAACTGAAAGTTTTTGCTAATCATTATATTGTTCTTCCTTTTTTTTTTTTTTTTTTGCCAAGATCCTAACAATATAAACCAAATCAAACAAACAAAAAAACAAATCAACTATAACAAAACACACCGCAACAATAAAAAAAGCCACGTAGTATTTGTTACGTCTGTGAGTTTGATATAAGGGTGCTAGGATACTTCAGGCATCTTCAGGTCTTAAGAACTGTCCAAGACAATATTTATCATGTCATCAAGAAGTGAACACTAAAGCTTCTTAAGCTGTTGAGAAAATGGACGCTTCTCTGAAGTGTGCTTTCCTCCATCCTCTCACTCCTATTGCACTGAAGTACCACGCCACGACTTTCAGCAGGGCTGGAGAAAAGGGTGTTGTTTTGGTGTACAGAAAGAAGTTGTGTTTATAAATTTATCCTATGTAGCCAAAGATGCTGTCTCTTTAGCATAGTGATCACCTTCACAATGGATAGGGAACAAGTTTTCATCAAATTTTTCTTCTCCATACGAAAACAGTACTAACATGTATTGCACTTCAGGTCATACATCTAGAAAATGTCAGATTCCACCAACCCTCCAGACCAGGTCATTTTTAGATTAAGAACAGGTTTCCTCCCAAGGGTTACTTAATCCTCAGAACTGTAGATTATTTTTATGAGGGTCAGTTAGAAATCCCATCGTTTTCGAAACCTGTTAGAGACTAAAGTCATAAAAGACTGGGTTGGAATGCAATCTTTGAGAGCTTATCTATTTTATTGCTTCCAAGAGGCTTGTCAGCTTCCTACTGAAACACAGTTCAGTAATTGTGTAGTGAATATAAATGAGAAGGTGGCTTTTTATCAGCAATAAATTATCAGGTTGATTGACATTAGGGGTCCCTCATATAATTTAATTGACAAAAGCATATGCTCGTAGGCAACTCTGTTTTCCAGTAATACATTTCTATATGTGATAAAGTAACTCACTACACAGTATTAAGCTATTGTGTTACTGATCACTTGGAATATACCTATTCTAATTCCTCCTTCAAGCAGTATCAAAATCATTTGGCTATTTTTTTTTTTTTTAACTTAAGGATTATTTAAATGTACTAATACAAAAAAATTATTTATAATTATTATTTTGCCTGCAGTCCTAAGGTTCCCTGAATTAAACAGTCTATGGTAAGGCACTTCTGAGTGGGTCTGTCTTCTAGATAAGCACATTTCAGTAATCCCCAGCACATTCCATCTCACTGCTTACAGAAGCTCACAGTCTATTCATAGCCCTTGTCACAGGGAGGTTCATACTTACACCAAGCACATTTCAACCTGAGGTGTGCAGCACTTCACACACTCACAAAAGCAAAATAATATCTTGAGATAGAACAGTCCATAACAGACCAAAATGAAGATGGGTAACTTCAAAAGCCTGTTAGGTGTTGTTTTAACACTTTCCAAGAGAGCTTTTAGCAATGAAGTTTCCACCATTTCATATGGATAATAATTTCCAGAAATAATTGCTTTCTCCATATACATTTTTCCTGTTTCAGTGGTCTTTTACATTTTTGTAAGTGTAATGCCTAGCCAGGCCTTTACTCCATCAGCCTCTAGGCATTTTCTTTCCCTTTCCTATTCATTTTCCATTTGAGTTACCCAACCAGAGTCTACTGTAGAAGCCACCCACAGAGGCCCTACGGAAGAGTATTAAACATTTCATGAACTTTCCGACAACTATAGCAAATCATTCAGTAATTAATTATTTCATTTGTTGCCTTTGGACAGAGATTAACCACGAGATAAGCTAATATGACATGTCTAGAGCAAAGGAAAATCAATGTGCTGTTTTCCATAAAGCTGCATTAGGTCATGGGGACTACCAAAGAGATTGTAAGACTTGTGCAAAAGCAAAAGGTTTATTTAAGCAGAAAAGGCTGAAGTAGCCCTGTGGTCACAGAACTTCTCATCAACCCCTACATTCACTAACAGATTAAATATTCAGATGAAAGATGAACAGACTAAAAAACAGAAAAGCTGATGGCCCGATTATTACACTGTTTCCAAATTCATTTCTACAGTACTCATAGGGAGAGATGCAAATACAGTTTCCAAGATAAAAATAAGAATTTGACTGAAAAATAGTTTTTCTTCCCACATCACACATTTGTTTTTTCTTCCTCTCCCCCCTCCCCCCTACTAAGTGGTGGCAATAATGCATTAAAAAAACAGTTCTGGGCTTTTTAAATCTCTGAAGATAGGGAAGTCACGTGAAGTGTAATTGTGGTACATTTAATTTGATTTTATGAAGAATACAATAGAGTTCCACAGAACTTACTCTAAAAATTACCACATTTAAATTTTTATGAAATGAGGGGGAGTTGAATATGAATACTGATATTGCATTAAAAGTTCTGTTTGGGATTTCCTGAATTGCCTTACTTTTGGATGCAAGAAAGTCACATAGTTCAGACAGTTAGCTAGCTAGCTGCAGGAATACCTGCACTCAGGACAGACAGCACTCTCAAAGCTGCATTAGCACTGCTGATTCTGAGGAAGAACCATCACCCCTCTTGCCCAACTCCTGTTTAAATGCAGCACGAGTTGAGGGGATACATCAACAACCTCACTGATTTGTAAAGCAGTTATGCTAAGTCATGCACAGCATATATCAAGATGCTGCAATACATCCCAGAGCCTTTTAAGCAGTTCTCATTCACTACAGTGGTTGTTATTCCCCGTTCTGCTCTACCACTGAGCCCCAAGCACCACGAGCTGACCACACAGCCTCCATCAGACTGCTGACTCCATTTACTAGCTGAGCTGTGAACCACAAGCAGTTTCCATTCCCCTGCTCCCAGCTGTGTTATTGATCTGCTGCTTGAAAACCACAAAACATCACAATAAAAGAACTACACAGGAGACTGACTCTTCCCTGTACAGGGAGTTATCCGACAGACTTGTCATGCCCAGGGAAAAAAAAGGAAGACTTTTTTTATTTGATTAAATCAAATAGGTGCTTTTTCTAACGTGGCTCCATTCTTTCTTTTCCCTAAAGCCTGTGTTGCGCCTTCTTCAGGATAACAGAGCTGGTGCCATGATGTGTTTAGGTGAGAAGTCCAAGAGCTGAAACTAACAATGGAAAATCTTAGAACTGTATGTCCAGTAGCTTAAAAGATGGCAAAATTAAAGGAACTGATGTGAAATATAGAAAGTAAGGTAGAACGAGTGGAGGAGTCGTTGCTTATAACACTTGGTGGGATGACTGCTTTCCAGTTTCACTTCTAAAGTCAAGAGAAAAATGGGCGGTGAAAGAGAAAGGAGAGGTAAAACCAAGAAAATGAAGAAAAAAAGGTGAGAGAAGGAAGATGAGACTGATAAACAAGGAGATCAAAAATTATGTTTAAACTTATTAACTGATACTTTTCTGGGTAGGGAAACAGGCATGGACTTACGGAACTTTATGGAAGTTTTTCTCTTCCCTATTTAAGCACTGGGGCAATAGAACAATAGGGTTCATTAGAGCAATAGCTAGAGATGTATGGCAGATTTTCTGGAAGCCTCTCTGATTTCTGTTCGCTTTCCTCCATTTTCAAATAAATCCCAAATTGAGAGAAGCCCTTCTGGAGAGAGGAGAAATTTTGGCCCTTTTCCCCTTGCTCTCTGCAAGAATTACCACACTCTTACACAAAGAAAGATTCAATCCACAACCACTCACAGAAACAAAATCCAGGTGCATGAATGAGGAAGAACAGGTTACTGATGGTAAATCACCGTTTTCTACTGCATAGGCAGATTGCTTCTTTTACTCCTTTCCTGATCAGAAACAAAACAGCTCCACTATTCCTACCCCTTACACAGTAAGTGCATCATTCTCACTCATGCGCTTATGAATATGTTATAAGTCGTGACTAAATGTAATTATGTAAATGATAGTCATTTGTTTGCCATACAGATTAATGTTCTGCTTCAGTGGGGTCCCAATATGGAGCAGCAGAAGTTTGAGCTTTGCAGCTGTGCCTCTGTGTGGTGCTGCCTCTCATCTAAAAATTAAAATGAAGATGGCATTTGTCTTTTACTTAGCATGAACAAAACAAACCATCCCTGGGTTACTTAATACATTATCTATTACTTTCTACCGGTATCCATCACCCTTCCCAGTGGTGAAAAACTCCTGGGGCATAATTTCATACACATCCAGCTCCATAATACTACGTCAAAGTGTTAATTAGAATCCCAATAATGGTTTTGCTTTTTACAGCTAAGTTTCCTTTGTCAAACTGAGATCTGTCAAGAAGCATGAGAAGTAAAGTTCTGCTATGAAGAAAAGATGTGGCTAATAAACTAGAAACAGATTTCCCATCATGTGATTTTACATATATTATTATTTATTTTTATTACAATTAACACATTTTCCCATTTTACCTCAGGATTAATTTGAGAATTCTCGTGGTAGGGATGGTTGTCAAAGTAAATACTTGTGCAGTTTATAAGCCTGCATGTCCGCATCTCCTTTTAAGACAAGACACTACAAATGCTCTCTGCACACTGCTGGCAATTTCTCCTCCCTCTCCAAAAAGTCCCAGAGAGGCTTTTCAGAACCAGGCTACAGTGCAGTTCCCAAGCTGACTGCTTCCACAGAAAGCCCCAGATCTAAGGATGCCTTACAGTTTACTAACCTGCTTCTCTTTTTTAAACCTGTAGCATCACACACAGACTAAATACTGCTTCACGTTGTTCCTACAGCAGTTCCAGTGCTTGTAAGACAGTTATCCCAAAGTGTTTACATTCCATTTGCTAATGATGTCTTTTGAATTATGCATGTCTCTACCTAATACAGAAGCTACAACATAATCAGCTCTAGGATAGAAAATTTAAAAATAAAAAAAAAACATTTGAGACAAACTTATAAGGTAGTGGCTTGTTAGTTAAAAGCAAGGCCAAAAGACACAATTCTCTTGAAAAAGTTCCTGCTTGTGACATCAGTGCTTAGACCTGCTATGTATTCAGTGCAGCATGGCAACAGTGTCAGGAACAGACTGCCTACACATCCCAATACTTTATTAGTAAAAATCCAATATTCAGAAAAAAGAAGAAAATTGTCTCTTGGGACTCTTGTACCTAATAACAATGGAAACAACTCTGCAGTTCTGCACTTGAGGTTCACAGCACCATCTAAATCTCCTCCCACAGAATTTTAGCTTTCTACTAATTATGCATGTAAGGTAGCTACTAAAGTTTTTCCATTACTCTTTATATATACCAGACATCCCACTATGGTTACAGATGGCATAGCTAACACACACTGGGATCTGTGGATAACCAAGAGTACTGGTGCAGGGCCCAGTTGGAGAGCAGCATTAAAGGCTGTGTTTCATCACCAACCTCCTGTGCGGCTGTGCTCAGGTCACACAGGACCCCATTTATGAAGGAGCATTACAAAGACACTTCACAGTATGACTTCAGGGCAGTCGTCTCTCTGACTCTGCCCGAGGGCACCTGGTGATACAGAACTGAGCCTGAGATGAGTTTCAATGTGCCTAGTATGTGAAGATGGGTTTTTAGGTACTTGAGAGCAGCTTTGGATGTCCCTCTCTGCCTTGGTGTTAAAGAACTGTGTAGGAGCTCCAAGCCTGTGTGTACTCCTGAGGGCTGGATGCTGATTCCACACACTGCCTTTCTCGGGTGGCCTACCTCTCACTGAAGACAGAGAATTCTGTCAACACAGTAGAAAACACAAAAGTGGTTTTGTAAACAGTGACCAAGCTGCCTTGCCATTTCTACTGCTCCAGGGGATGTGGCAATACTTGCACACCTTAGAAACTGTCCTGTGTGTAAATTACCCAGGGTTCCTTAGGTAAAATGAGGCTATTAACCTGGAAAAGAATATCTTTGTTGGTGCACTGAGTACACACCCGTAATACCATCAAGTCTTATTCCCTGGAGAAATAGGTCTGGGGTGTTTGGGATATCAAAACATGCTACCTGCAGCAGGAAGAAATCACTTAAACATCGTTAATGTATTCCTGATCGATTCCTAGGGATTAACATGCATTATTTCATTTTATATGTACGCAGTGAAAGTTACAGGAGAACAGTTCATACTGTGTGCTCCTCTTTTATAATTTAACAGAAAACATTCTTTATCTCCATTTTAGTGTTCCTCTACTTCCATATGCAGAATGATAATCAGTGCATGGGAAGTCTGCCTCCAGCCAGCCTAGATCCATTTCTCACCGTACTCACACATCACGGAGAAGCTTAATTGTACAGCCTCAGCAACAGTGACAGCAGCCCTGACCCACTAGGACGCTCCATGAGTACAACCAGCTCAAATATTCATAAAGCTACTAATTTATTGCAAGTACTTGGCTCCCGTCAGAGTTTTGCTTTTGACTGCATGCAGATTGCAAGCTTAAAATGTTTTCTTGCAACGTGGAACTGTAGGAAACTGATATTTCAAGAAGCAAAGCATAAGCAGAGCATAACAACACTATGGCTTTCCACTAAAGGAAACATTTTTCGCTCTAATTTAACTAATTATTAACTGTATATGCAAATAATTATGGTCGAGTAGTTACTTTGTTAAACAGCAGTACAGAAATTGATTTTCCATAAAAATTCAGTTTTGTGGAATTAATTACATTTGTTAATATATCTTGCAAACAATGTCATATGTCAAAGAATTGTATGCTGTTACACAGCAGTGTAATTGAATAATTCTAGTAAGTTTATCACTTCTCATTTTATTACAAATAAAATGTTTATTTCTTTACTTTTTTTCCTCCCCAGAGCAAAGCAAAATCATAGCAAGTGAGAGGATAAAGCCTATAGCACTGACTAAAGAGCTCTTCTGTCAAAAACTGCTTCCTTCCCTCCAGCAGATTCCAGCAATACAGCTGTTTCCTAAGGGTTGGCCTGACACCACCAGTTCCAGTTCTTTCCTGATTATGAATTAGGAAATAGGTACTGCAGACAAGAGGTATTTTGTAGTACAATAAACTAACGTTCAGATGATTTATTCAAATATACAAATAAGTGCATTTTTCTAAGAAAAAAGGAAAATGCAACTAGTAGCGTTTGGTAGCATGAGAGAATGCTATGTATAAAACAAGCATGCACCGCATGCATTGTTCACATCAAGCTATGAGACTGCAGGCAGGGCACGTGTGCACATCATCTTGTCAGTATGCCACAACCCTTCCTCTCTGGAAGGCAATTCCTATCGATGTTCATTCTGTCCGTTGTGGTTTGGTTAAGACTGCTGCTTTGGGTTGTTTTGTTTTTAAAATCAGCAAGTAAGTTCTTATCGGTGCTTCAGACTCCCAGGGTCTACCACCTATTTCCAATAAGATCCAAGGTCAGTGATGGATCTGCAGGATCACCTAAGAAGTTTTGGTGACCTGAAATAAAACTGACTACTTTCGTTTCATGTCAGACTTGGGATCCTGGTTCTCAGAAGCTCAATAATCAGTTTGGAGAAAAAGACCTTCCACAGACATAAAGAAAGGTATCTTTTTCAAGTCTGCTAGGCTGTCTTGGAGCTGTAAATGTGAAGATATTTGTGCTGGGGACATAAGCTCATTCTACCTACTGATGCTAGTGGGAAGAGGCTACAAAAATACGCCAAACTGGTAAGTGACTTTTGGTCACCAATAAAGTGTCAGGTCTGAATGGATGCACTACTGGAGGGCTTCCCATGAAGTACATTAGCTCTTCAGTTGGCCAAGCTGCTATGCTCTGCCCCCATAATTCCTTAAGGCTGGGCTTTGCCTCTTTACCAAACACACCATGCCAGCTATGGAGAAATGGGTTTAAAATGACTCTGGCAAAAGGCAGCTGGAAATGGTTATTTTACTGTAGAGATGTTGGTGTTATGCATTGCTGATCAGACAGTGAATGAAACAGACCTCTGTCAGGCACTTTGGCTCTATTACTGGGAGTATAACAGAGGAAAACATTCCAAATGGATGTAAATAAACAAACAGAACAGTTAAAGGCTCTGCCAAAACCGGGAAAACAAAACTCTTCAACAATGAGCACAGCTAATAGAGAAGGTTAAAGACCTGTAGCAGCTCCTGACACATAGACCTCATAGCAGAGATAAGGAATGTGTCATTAAAGACTTGATGCCTTTACAGCATTTGGGTGCTTAACTTAACATTATGTTATTGTACTTTAAAGACTGCTGACTGACAATAAATGGGATATGTTTATTATGTTATTTTGAACTTAAAATATAAGGAAGGATTTTCGTAGTCCAGAAACCCAGTCTACTCTGAATGTTCCTAACAGGAATCTTGTCCGTGCATTTGGACAGAGACAGAACGTTCTCAGCTATAAGCACAGAACTCAGAGTTATGTCTTTATGAAGAGATTAGAGTTTGCCTAGAAGATATTCACCTGCAGAGCTTGAAGCCAGGATCTGTGGAAATGGGAACAGCCTGTGTTGTGGATAACACTACAAGTCAGGGGACTTAAGAAAGCAATGTCCTGAGGGATGCTAAGGGGAAATTTATAGCTGAAACTTCTTATGACATCTCAGAAGAGAGTTCTGCCATGCCACCTCTCGTAACACCTATAAAAGCCTCGGAAGGGAGGCACATGCAGCTGATGAGCTGAAAGTCAGAGAATACTTAAGAAAAAAAGACAAAATGGAGACAGAGGCCCCAGAAAAGATAGAAATGAAAGTAATCACCACCTTTTGGCATATTTGCCAAAAGGCTTCACAGCCCTGCATCTCAGAACACTTAGACATGGCTAATAAGGGCGTTTACCAATACATGCAACTACACGTATTTCTTTAGTTGCCACTAATATTGAGCTTAATTGGAAACGGAAGAAAATGCCAGGAAGCAGCTGACTGTTGAGTATCTGAGCCATTGTATGACACACCAGTGTGGTCTGGTTCAGAGTAGACACCAAATGATGCAAAATTCTGTGGCTTTGGGTAATTGCTACATCGCAGCTGAGAACGCAGATATTTTCTACTATGAAAATAGAGTTATTGAAATAAAAGTATCTCAAATGAGGGTAAATGACAAGTTCAGGCAGTAGCATCCTTCTCAAAGCTGAGACTGTGGTCTGCTTCAGTACGTACGTACGTATTTTTTTGCTGCCACGCCAAAAAATCACTAAGCTTTACTAACTTCAGCCTTAGAGCACACTGTCTACAAACTTGTGAGCATTAACTTGAAAAGCAGGAATTCTCTTCTTACAGGTGCTTTAGTAGGTAAGCATCTTTTTCTTCAAAGGCCACGCACAGAAAAAGACCATAAGAGTCTGACATGTCACAGTGGGTTAGCTCATTATGAACAAAAATGGAAGGAACTGATGACAGCATAGAATGAGCCCATGTCTGCAGGTTAAATATGCATCAACTGCTGGGGTCTTCCCTCTTTTCACTGGGTCTAATTTCCACCTCTCCACTTCACTGTCTGACTGCAGCACAGCCAGCCACCAACACCATTAGTCACTTCCCTACTGCCTTCCCAACAGTCCTTTCCCCCTTTAAACCTGACTGTTGGACCTCTCAGCACAGGCTGGCCACACATTAGGTAGGAGCGATCAAAAATCCTTCCTTCCCTGAAGCCAGTCTCAGGGGAGAGGACTCAACACCTCTGAATGCTGCCCCATCTGGTTATATGCAGCTACTTCTAACAGTTGCATCAATGGCACCGGTTGAGTGGAAAGCTCTTTTATTTACTCATTTATTTATGAGTTGGGGGGGGGAGGGGGGGCTGATATTAGTAACATGTGAACAGAAAACTGCAAGAAAGAACGAGGTGGTAAATCTTTCAAATTGAATTTGTCCATGATGCAGCAACTAAATTCATTTTATCAGGCTATCAATAAATATTCATAAGCCTATTAACCGAACCTCTCAGAGCATAGAAATATCAGAATTCTAATTCTTCAAGATTCTTATCTACTCTCTACCCTCTAACTCTTAAAAATATCCCCAATAAGCGTTTGCTCTCCTAGACCTCACTACTTTAAAAAAAAAACAAAAAAACAAAAAAACAAAAAAACAAAAAAACAAAAAAACACAGTACTTGCTCCACAAAATAATCAAGTATTGAAAATAACTTCTTAAACAAACTTTTTTCTCCTTTTTGAAAAAGTTCTATTTTCTTACTCTTTCAAGAAACACCATCTCCACTATAGTTTTCATTTAGTTTGCATTTTACCAAATTTGCCCTGCAAACTTAACTCAAAAATCACTGCAGAAATGCTGCCCAGTAGTTTTCAGCTGACAGGTAAAGAGGACTCTCGGTGCCCAAATCCTACTTAGTGACATGCAAATGTTTCAGTTGGTCAGTCCCTAAGCTTCCAAATCATCCCTCCTGTTAAAGCCTCAATAACCATCCATAACTTTTGGGAAAACAGCTGAGTGGAACCTAATGGGATGCTAATGCATGGTTATGAACTGATGTTCGATAGTCTTGCATAACAGGGCTGATCTAAAGCTGAGATATCAAAACAAGGACCTGACTGCATCAATTTCAAGCGCAGTGGACTTTAGTACATTTACTCTTGACACACAGGCAAGTGGGAGATGTCATTACTAACAATGCTGTCTGTTAATCGTACGTAGAAACATCACAAGGCTTTCACTGCTCAGGCAAGACTGCACCAGGAGCATTGCTCCTTGTGTCTGGGCCATTAGCAGCAGCTGGGGATCATACAGTGGCTGCTGCAACTGCAATGTCTTCTCTCCACACAGTAGGTGGTTGTTAATGGTTTCTTGGGATCACAGCAAGTGTTCTCTTCATTGTCTGCTTCAGCACCTCAGGCCAGTATCTTCATCATCACACGCAGCCATGATAAGAGCAGCAATCTTCAGGTGTCTGAAATGTCTTTTAGACAGATGAACATTCTCCATCTACTTTAATATGTCCTCTCCTACTCAGCTGCTGAGTCCCAGCTGGGTGAGCTTGCTTCCCAGTGCTGTTACAAGTTTTCTTTCTATTTCACTGTTACAACCTTCTATTATAACAGACTCTTTGCTGCCTTCATCTAACCACCTTTCAGCCTTTGTAACACTGGGAATCAGGAGAGATGCCTGCAGATGTTGATTTCAGCATCATGCTCAAGATGTATGCATGGGTGAAACTGCCTGCTCAGGTGAGGCCTGAATGCTCTGCAAATTAAAGGAAGGTTTTGAACACCTCCTCTTGAGCTGTTCAGGATCTGTGTCAATGGGCGGAGGGACTGCTTTTCTGCTAGCCCACAGAGGGATGAACTACAACCCATTGCCATTTTTCAGGGGCATATGAAGATCCATTGGCTGTAACAAAAACAGCACTGCATTTGAACTGAACTCCATACAGGAAGCATTGATTGTATTGCTACTTTCAAGGT